TTCGCTTCTTTATCCTCGTCCTGCCCTTCTAGCTTCTTCTTCCTTGATAATATCTGAACGTCTTCAGGAGTTTCAGGAACAGATCTCCCCGTGGTGTCAGGAAGGAACCGCCGGCGCCACACATGCCAGCAAAGATAAACCCGCAAACAGGGCTAAAGGCACCCTCCTGTCTCCCATAGAGCAAGTTAATGTAGGGACCAATGAAGCTGCCTATCCTGGCACAACTGGAGCAGAGACACATTATCATGCCCCGGTGTGATGTTGGAGCTAATTCTCCAGGATACAAGTACATCATGATGAAAGCAGCTCCAGATCCCATGCTTCCAATAATGCTGGCCAATGTTTCTAGACTCCAAAATCTTTGTAAGAACGTAGAACTCAGAGTAGAGGAATTATTGTGTCTATGAAGTAATTAAGTAATTAGTGGCGGTGATTTCCGAGTTTAGATTGTCAGCTATTGTTCAATCCCTAAATACTATTTAGGGATTGAACAATAGCTGACAATCTAAACTGAATATTTACTATTTAAAATAGTAAATATTCATCAAAATACTCGTTAAGATGACAATCATCTACAATGTTTATTATAATCTCAAGAGACGCAGGAATTACTGCCTGGTAATGATGCTGGTAATTACTTAATTAGATTTAGACTGATGGTCACGCACAATCCAATGTGCCATTATTTTTTCCGACCAAATAAAGTCCGTTAGGGTATTCATCCAACGCTGATAATCGATTTATTTCGTTGAACTTAAAGTTCAACAGTGCTCGTGATTTATTTGTATATCGTTCTTGGTCGTAATATAAATTATCATCGTGCACGTGCTACCACAGGAGCAATTAAATGAGCATGTACAGCTGCTTAAGCAGTGACCACATACCCAAAAATTGTATCCTTCATATAGTATATGATAATAATTCTGGACTGAGCGAGTTCATACTCGATCCTATATACCACCGTTTAATTACGAAAATGTTATGTCTGTTTTCGAATATTATAATAGGCGGGTTTATAATAGGTGGGTTTATACTGTTGCATTTCAACTGCGATAGTTATCAAGTCCCGGCCGTAGGCACGGGGTACACCATGCAGTATTGCTTATATTGCGGCATGGTTTCAAGTTAACTAGCAGGAACCCATCTAACCCTAAATGGTTTCAAGACTCAAGAGACTAAAATAATTATTACCTATTTAATTCGCGTTTTTGACACCACTTGGGGGTCCAAATTTTCTTATTCCTTGGCCAATTTTTTATTTTTTCATGCTGATTTGAAGGCCATTAAGGCATTTGACCCAGTCAAAAAAGTTCCAGTTTTATATCTTTTACGGTTTTTGCGGAACGTCGTGTTAAAGTTGATGCCGTGGTGTCAGTAAAATGGTACGGATATATATATATATATATCGTCTCGCTTTATATATAGTAAGATAGTAAGATATCATCTCGCTTTATACATACTCATAGTAAGATAGCTTTAAGCTCACCACTTATCTCTTAGCAGTTTAAAAAGACATCTATATTTGTTCATTTACTAGATACTGTATTCATTCATTTGATACCTATGATAACTTTTAATTAATGCATTATCAAAGGATGTAAAAAGGAAATGTTGAAACGTGGACCGATGCAGTGTTTTCCATTGCTAGCTTCAATATCAAAATGCGCAGTTTTGCTAGTACCGTAGTTAAGTTGTTCAAAATTGTCCCACATTCAAACGACGATTTGGCGCCCCCCTAAGATGACGAAGTTGCTGGGGTTATAAGAAACCACAATAAATAAACTCTCTTTATTATTTTGTTTGCATCGACTTTGTCACGCGGTGAATCTGGATTGTTTAACGATAAAGTCTTGATGGTTTAAACTCGGATATAAATAGAAATGAGACTAGTTTCCTTTTTTCATCTCATCTTATTATCTTAAGGTGAATGAACAAGAAGGGACAGCTATTTTTATGCAATGATTTTTTGTAAATTTTGTGACACAGAAAACAGGGATTGGTCAACTGGAGGTGTTTTGTGGTAAACTGCCTAACAAATGTTGTTTCGTTTCGCTTCGTTTCGTAACCAAAATTATGGTAACCAAATTTATTGTGAACCAAATTTATTGGCCCTAAGGTATTCTGGTTATTTACTGTCTGCACTCAATAAAATTATTTATTTGAATAAATTGCAACTGTTACCCAATTAGAATGTAGGCCGTCGTTTTCTTTGATACCACTCGCAAGATGAACTGTGTGTGGAATAAGATGACACGGACAACAATTCTCCTCGCGCTGATCACTCTGTCGTTAGCAGGTCAGTTGTTACAACCTTATTATGATATTTAGTTATAGATAAAATGAAAGCAGACTTTGTTTAAGAAATATCCGATCCCATGATGATTTTCATAAATTGTTTATTGAAGTTATTTTGTAATTTTGACAGTCTCGTACAGTAATTTTATAAGTTTCAGTAGCTACTAGCTAAATAACATGCCTTCAGTTGAATACAAGGTTACAACGGATACAAGCTCTGTCGACTGGGCAGGCTCAAACAGTCACTTTTATTACAAGTTTATGGGAACGAAAGGCAGCACAACTGAGCACCTTGCTGACAATGATAATGATAGGGAGATAGGGAAAAGTGACACCTATATGATCACAGATAACACCGACATAGGCGAGTTCAGATGTGTGTCAGTGAGACATGGCGGTAGTGATGGGTGGATGTTTAACGAGGTAAAGCTTACTTGATTTCACTTCTGAATTTTTGTGAATTCTATTGACACACTGGTTTGACTAAAGACTAAAAATACATGTACATGGAATTAAATCAAAATTAGTCTATAATCTATATTTTATTATTTGTGCAAGCTGTTGACGGCTCTGAGACTGAATATGAAATTTGAGCAATGAGCATTGGTTCCATTATTTACTTTGTTGTGACATCATCCACTAAACAGAATAATGATTGAGAGTTGAGACCAATGTCTATTCAATCATTCGAATAATTTTAGGAATCATTGCTGTCAATAACTCTGCAAAATTAGGAAAAAGACTTCAAATTGATGCCGCTATTCATATTATAAATGTGCAATAAATAACGGAACTATTTCTAGGTGTTCGTTGAGATAAATGGACGTCCCATACCAGCGATACCGAACCTGATAGGTTGGCTCGATGATTCTATACCAGTATTGATAGAGGTAGCATTTTGCGTCACCAATTTCGGTAAGTCCAACATCAAACATATAGAGGAAAGGTCAAATTATTTTATAACACATAGTGCTACCCGTTATTCTGCGAAACCCAGCATAAGTATTAATTGTTGCTTATTAAAAGTGGTTAATATTTTACTTTTTAACTACTATACGGTTAAAATTCGTAAAAAGTAAACATTTTTTTACACAATTTATTATGATTATTATTAAATTATACCATTACCAGTAATAAAACCGCAAACTTACAGCTAGAATTACGGATCAGGGGCGAGACAACCTTGTTACGTATTGAGGCACTGAGGCACTTGAGGCAGTACTTTGAGGCACTTGAGGAAGTACTTTGAGGCACTTGAGGCAGCACTTTGAGGCCCTGAGGCACTTGAGGCAGCACTTTGAGGCCATTGAGGCAACACTTTGAGGCCCTGAGGCACTTGAGGCACCACTTTGAGGCATTTGGGACAACATTTTGGGGCACTGCGGCACTCGAGGCGCCAATTTGCGGCACTCTCAAGTGTAAATGTTTCCAAACATTGAAAACGTAATATTTAAATTTTAAACTGCCCCATATTTATGCATCTTCAAGTTCAGCGGTGAAATGAATATCGTTCTGCATTTGCCGTTAACTATTACATAATAGCAATACGCAGTAAGTAAGTTACAATTTTGTAATGTTTGTCAAGTGCCTCAGGGTGTCAAAGTGCTGCCTCAAGTGCCTCAAAGTGCTGCCTCAAGTGCCTCAAAGTACTGCCTCAAGTGCCTCAAAGTACTGCCTCAAGTGCCTCAGTGCCTCAATGCGTCACAAGGTTATCTGTCAGGGGCTCAAACATTCTAATTTCAGAAAATAAGGTGAGAAACAGATGCCCGCCCGAACATCCTTACTCGTTTCTTCAAAATAACAGGTGCTGCTCAAACAACAAAGAGGGCACTACCAGTATAGAAACTTTAAAACCATACTGTGACCAGAAGACACTAGGAGATGGAAGTATATGCTGTCATGGTAACAGTATAGACTTAGAGTGTTCAAATAAACCTTGCCTCCACTTTGCTCCAATAGGTATGAAATTTGTTAATGGAAAGTATGCCTGATCCGTATATCAGGGACTAAACGGCGTAAGAGCAACCATTTCTTACCTCTTCACTAATCACTAATCACTTCAATGGTGATAACCGCGCAACAATAAATTTAATTCCTAGAACTTTCTCAACTCAGATATCGTAATGAAAAGAGAATGTCCAATTCTATATCTCGCAATTAAAACTACCGTTATCGCTTTGCTGATTGGAATTCTGAGTTTTCGGATTCTGAGACCAATTGTTATCTACTCCTTATATAACTCTACGTTGGACCCCAGTCATAGTTATGACAATTGTGTTTTAACATTTATAAGTAGTTACGAGAAGGTGCGGGCGGTCTAATTCAGAGCATCATTATACTAATTGGGGAATAAAATGTTGTATTTGAAGTATGGCTCGTCGAATAAATGTTGCAAAAATTTATTTACTTTTGGATTAATAAAGACTCCAAATAAAAATGAAATGTTGAATTTTGTCAAGGATAAGTTATTACGATATGAAATTAAACTTGTGAAAAATCTATGTATAATTGCTTCGATAGTTACGATGCATCGGAAAAATTGACATCCTACAATAATAGTGCCTTTAAAAGAATTTCTTAATATACACTCGAAAATTAAACTCTCAAAAATTCATTCGTTACTTTACATTAATTTATTTTCACAGAATGAGGGCCACTTAAAACTTTTAAAATCGAATGTGTCCATAAAAGTTTTAAGAGTTCAGTTAAAAACTAGCTTCAATGTCTAGGACGTATCTCAAACCACCAGCGTTTGCTTTAGAAAGGTTAATGAAAATCTCATCTACCTTGCTAGCATCAACAATCTCAATATCAGGGTAAATATCCTTCTCCACACAGAAATCAACGCACTCCTGAAGTGACTTCATACCCCCAACCATAGACCCAGCAATAGATTTCCGCTGAGCAAGGAGAGGAAACTGATAGAACTGCAAGGGAGCAGCTACGGCACCAAGTTGTACCAAGGTTCCGTTAGTAGAAAGAAGACCGAGATAAGTCATGAGATTGTGAGGAGCACTGACAGTGTTAAGAATGAGATCCAGTGAGTTGTTGTGTGAGTTGATGGAGGCGGGACTGGAGGTGTCCACGTAGTGTAGTGCTCCCTTTTCTTTTGCTAGCTCCACTTTCTTGTCACTGCTGGATACCGCTACCACTTCATGTCCTAGAGCTGATGCTAACTTGATTCCCATAGTGCCAAGTCCACCGATCCCTACTATTCCTATCTTCATCTTCTTCCAGCTCTTATATCAAAGAAATTCTGGAAACATGTCAAATCGACATCAAAATCTACTCGCATACCAGGAACAGTAAACTATAACGGCAGATTTAGAAACAATCACTTAGACCAAGCTGAAATGTTCAATGAATATTTTGCTGCACAGTTTTCCGAAGCGAGTAATTATGATGTTGATATTGATTATAGTAATGACTCAGTAAACGACATTGAGTTCACTACCAGCAGAATCCGAAAAATTCTAAAAGATGTCAATGTTAATAAAGCTGCTGGTCCAGATGGTATCCATGGCAAAATTTTAAAGAACTGTAGAGATAGTATTGCATATCCACTCTCGAGCCTTTTTAAAATCTCATATAACATAGGTCAGATACCATCTGAGTGGAAATTGGCTAACGTAGTACCTGTGCATAAGAAAGGCCCCAAAACTCTAGTAGTAGAGGCTCTTACGGGCAAAAAGACGTGTTTTCTGCTACGAGTTTAGAGACCTAACCGCTAATTGGACACAATAGTATGATGTCTAAGGATCGATAATATGTTAAGAAGTATAAATTTGGACTTATTAGTCACGTGCTATACCAATGCGCGTTTTAAACTTTGACAGTCTATTACTCTAAGGCAAATAGAGTAATTATATTCATATTTTGTCAGCAATAAGATCACATTATTTTCTATTTAGTGTGAAAATATGAGCTAGAACGGACATAATCTCGCTGAGTTATAGCTGTTTGAAATTTATGATGAACGCGCGGGTGCCAATTGATAACAACTAAATGCTTTTGCGCGTAGTGCGCGTCGAAAATTTGGCAAAAACGCTTGCGGAGTGACAATATTCAAACTTCGATAAAGTATATGAAGTGGGTACTTCTCGGAAAGGAAAAATTTAGGCAAACACGATGTGACTATTTTTGGGTTGATTTAATACAACTGCAAAAAATTATTCAAACTTCAAGCAAAAAAGTCAAAATTTTTACCATTTTTTTGGATTTTTACCTCAGAACAAATAGAGGGATTTGTTTTATTTTTATACAATCTTGTGCGGCTGTCTTTTAGCTATCTTTATGCAAGTTTTGCCGACATGCCAACAAAATTAACTTGCTCAAAATATCAAAAAACATGGTTTTTTGGCCTATTTTTGGCCCAAAAATCGGTTTTTTGCGATTTTACCCCAGAACAATCAGTCCAATCATCTTGAAACCACTTTCAATCGATTCTACGGTCAAAAATACGTCTAGTAAGGTGTATCTGGGGTCCCTAACGTATCGAGCAGACAATGCCCGTAAGAGCCTCTACTATAGTTGAAAATTATCGGCCAATCTCTCTCACCAGCCTTGTAATGAAAATTTTTGAAAAAATTGTGAGAGATGAACTGTTGGCAAAATGCCAGCATAAAATACATGACAACCAACATGGTTTTCTTCCTCAGAGGTCTTGTACTACACAAATGGTCGGGTATATAGACTGTCTCTCTCTGTCTATCAACGATAATGTCAGAACTGATGTGGTATACTTTGACTTTGCCAAGGCCTTTGACTCAGTTAACCATGATGTCATCCTAAAGAAATTAAAATCGGAATTTGAAATTAATGGTACACTGTTGAAGTTCATTATGAACTATCTCAAAGACCGCAAACAGTGTGTTATAATTGGGGGATCCCACTCAGAACTTAAGAATGTTGAATCTGGGGTTCCCCAAGGCTCCATTTTAGGACCTCTGTTCTTTGTACTCTTTATTAACGACATGTCAGAATGCGTAAGTGAAGGTACAAAGATAGCCCTATACGCTGATGACACCAAAATATGGCGTAAAATCACGGGCTGGAGAGACCATGAGATCCTACAAGCAGACATAGACGCCCTGCATTGCTGGGCAGTAAGAAACAAAATGAAGTTTCACCCAAATAAATGCAAGGTGCTCTCTATATCTAGCAAAATGAGTGAAAAGGGAATTTTGAGTTTTTTCCCCTTCCAGCTCTTTGTCTATACCCTAGATGGAACGGCACTAGACTTCGTCCAGAGTGAAAAAGACCTTGGGGTCTTTGTTAGAACTGACCTTAAGTGGGAGGAGAACATAGTCAACCTTTGTACGAAAGCTAGTTCTCGTCTAGGTCTAATGAAAAGAACTCTACGGTTTATTAACGACCGTAAACAAAAACGGGCATTCTATCTAGCGCTGGTTAGGAGCCTTTTCGAAAATTGCAGTGTTGTCTGGAGACCAACAAGTGTTGTCTTGAATAACAAAGTTGAAAACATTCAGCGCAGAGCAGTTAAGTGGATCCTTGGCGAACAGGATCATCACTATAATGACTTAGAATACTTGGCTCGATTAAGAGAGCTAGACATGTTGCCAATGGAGCTGAAGTTTGAATACACAGACTTACTATTATTCCATCAGATATACAATGGTCAATCTGTTCTGAAGCTCCCACCTTATTTAACCCCGATAACAACCAGTGAACAGGGTAGGTTGCGTTCAAACATAAGGCAACCCTCGAGATATAATGAAGTTGATACATCTCAAATGCCTGATATCAACCAGAGGCGACAGAACAGACACGACCACCTTTCCCTGAAGTGTACTGTGGAAGCAAAAGCTCACTCCTTTAAGAGAAGCTTCTTCTTCAGAACACACAGTGTCTGGAATGACCTACCAACTGACCTTAAAGAGATAAGTGATGCCGGAACTTTTAAGTCAAACCTGGCAAAACACTTTTGGGACAAATTGACAGACCCTGACTAAGTTAATGAGTACAAATGATATTTATATGTGGGCCCCCGCCACTGATAGATCGGTCACGATACTGAATATAACAACTATAATATAAAAAGAAATCTATTAAATAATATTAAATAACATTTACGTTCTGTCACCATGATTTGACCCTGGTGCAGTCCTCAGTTAATATACTTAACTGGATTACGCGAACTTTATATCCGACTGTAATCTTGCTTTTAATCGCTGTGTGATGATACGCGCGCAATTTTTGGCGCATTATGAGTCGGGTCATGGATACATTATGTATTTATTTTGATAATTCTAAATTTGCGTGTTTTAGATACATTTTGTGTGTTTAGATGGAGGTGGTGTTAGTGAGTCTGGGAGTAGAACTATTACTTGTAATACGTATACCCCCAGAACTTGTACCACTTAACCATGCTTTTAGTATTTATACAATATGGACTACAACTTTTACCCTACAAATGCCTCATGATAATAATGTCGTATATTTTTAATTCTCTTTGCTGTATTGTATAATGTACTATTTGTAAAAGTTTCAAATCAAATCAAATCATCTTCTTATCTCCCTTTGTAGCTCCATAGTATCTCAAGGGATCCCACATTGTTATGCCAGCACACACCTTCAAAAGATTTTGTTATTTTAATTAAATGTTGAAGAATCAAATTCCAAATTATGTTATTTCTGGAAGTTTTTACTTTATAACAATGCTGACTGCTGGCAAGCATGGCCGTGCAATTATAATATTACTCACTATACTATTTACCCCCTATACTACATATTATACACCCTTTACTGATTTTCAGGCATTAAGACTCACCGAAAGTAGTTCAGCAGGCAAATTTTCAGTTCAAAAAATTCTAATTCAATGTCAAAGATGACAGGAATAAAAAATAGTTATATGTGGAGGTTTTTAAGAAATTTGCGCAAAATACTTTATCGGACCTTATTTGGACGGACATTACTTGAACGCTGCAGGCCCTAGCGTTCATCTTAATGTCCGTTCAAATAAAGTCCGTTCAATTAATGTCCGTCCAAGTTAAAGTCCGTTGAAATTTTTTCAAACATTTTTCCATTTCGAACTTTTTGTCCAGAATATGACAACTTTGAGAACTTTATTGTGCCGTAAGTTAACGACGGAAAGGTTCTCCTTAGTCTGCCGAAGGCACAGAAAACTCTACTAGTATATGATGTTTTCAAGGGTCACTTGGCGGAACAACATAGTTCATGAGCTAGTCCCCGCCAACATGACAAACTTGTTCCAGCCTCTAGATATTACGGTAAATCGTGTTGCCCAGGACATTGTCAAACGTTGTTATAGTTCATATAACTGAGGGGAGGTAATGAAACAGTGCTAGGAAAGCTCCACGTGATGTTAAGGTTAACATAAAGTTGTCTAAAATAAAACCACTTTACGCCGAATGGCTTGTAAAAGTTAACAATGAAATGCAGGACCGGGGTAGTTTGATAAAAAAAGGTTTCCACAAAGCTAGAAATCATTGATGCTTGTTTAAGCATGGACTATTTCATGCACGAAAACCCATTTAATGAAGATGGTATTTGATATTAGACACTGATCATTGCATGTACACATATTTTAACATTTTGAAAGCTTAATGACTGCTTTTCTTACTTACTGTATAAAAAATGGATTAAAAATCATTTGCTGAAATTAAAAAAACGTCAAAAAATTGAAAGAAATTCGGATTTGTGATGGTTTTGAATGCCTTCGAGCGTTCATATTAATGTCCGTTCACAATTATGTCCGTTCATGTAATGTCCGTCCAAATAAGGTCCGATAAGGTAATGTTTATAAACAATAATAAAGATTCGGCGGAATGACAGGCTGAGCGCCGCCCAGTAATGTTACATTAGTATTACCTCCCCTCAGTAATATGATAATGAACTATAACAACATCGGACTCGGACATTACTGGGCCGCGCTCAGCCTGTCATTCCGCCTAATCTCTGTTTATGAACATGATAGCCTGAGGTCCCCAGGTAACGTCGGACAATGTCCTTGGCAATGGCAACACGATTTACCGTAATATCTAGAGGCTGAGCTGGAACAAGTTTGTCATGTTGGCGGGGACTAGCTCATGAACTTCAACTATGTTGTTGAGTGCCACAATTTTGTTGACTTTTTCCGTCAAGTGACCCTTGAAAACATCATATACTAGTAGAGTTTTCTGTGCCCCCGGCAGACCAAGGAGAACCTTTCTGTCGTTAACTTAAGGCACAATAAAATTCTCATTATAGTTGTCATATTCTGGACAAAAAGTTCGAAATGGAAAAATTTTTGAAAAAATGTCAACGGACTTTAACTTGGACGGACATTAATTGAACGGACTTTATTTGAACGGACATTAACTTTAAGATGAACGCTAGGGCCTCCAGCGTTCAAGTAATGTCCGTCCAAATAAGGTCCGATAAGGTAGTTACCTTATCGGACCTTATTTGGACGGACATTACTTGAACGGACATAATTATGAACGGACATTAATATGAACGCTAGAAGGCAATCAAAACCATCAAAAATCCAATTTTTTTGACGTTTTTAAATTTTATCAAATGATTTTTAAATCCATTTTTCATACAGTAAGCTTATCTGCGATGTGCGGCTCTTACTAATTCGCTCGCCCAAAAATTTCACGTGACTTTGGTTTTTATGATTTTGCAGCCGTACAAAACGATTTTACATGAACCCTAATCCCAACCCTAACCATAACCCCGAAGCTAACCATAACCCTTACCACAACCCTAACCCTAACCCGAGCCCTAAACAATCGAATTCATGTTTTACTAGCCTGTCACGTGACCAAAACGGTTATTTGCCCATAACTCTCCGTGGAAGCATTTTTACCCTACGTCATGGGGGGTGATTCGGAATCAGCGTCCAAAAATACACCGATTCAGATCAATTTCACACCCTAAGGGCCTTTTCACAAGAATTTTCTTAAAATTTGGGCGAGCGATTTAGTAGGAGCGGCGATGTGCAGATAAGGTACGAAGGTACCTACAGGACTAGATTAGATACCGTCGGTCATATACCTAGGGATGTATCCCGGTTTGTCTTCTACTTTATCGAGATGGGTGGTATGGTAGAAGGTATCGTAGCGGACATAAGCCACCGAAGGTCGCCTATACCAAGTGGGGAGGGGGGGGGGGGGGGGGGGCTAGAGATAAAGCTTAAGCTGTACTTTAGGCATTCAAGTATCTCTCTAGTAGAGCAGTTGGTATCGTTCATTGCCCGGTACGACTACGAGTTGGACAGACAACCAGTTGTAAAAGAAAATGTGGAGGTAGAACTAGAAGAAGCCGAAGATCAACTTCAAGATAGTGATAATGTAATAATGTGATATTTACAATTCAGATTGTTAAAATTTTATAATACCTTGTTTTTATTAATTCAATTTCAACGATATAGTTTAGTAAAAGTCTAATGATAGCTATTGAAATTGACTTAAATTAAAAAGTTGTCATATTCTGGACAAAAAGTTCGAAATGAAAAAAGTTTGAAAAAAATTCAACGGACTTTAACTTGGACGGACATTAATTGGACGGACTTTATTTGAACGGACATTAAGATGAACGCTAGGGCCTGCAGCGTTCAAGTAATGTCCGTCCAAATAAGGTCCGATAAGGTACACGATAGCGTTAATCAAATTTTAGAACGTCGTAAGCAGCTGTATTGTTAAACAAAACAAAAAGAAGGCGCTATTTGAGTTTTGGGACGAAAAAGGTTCACGAGCTAATCTGCGTCCTAAAACATAAAATACACCGAATTAGATTAAATTCAGGCTCTCAGGGCCTTTTCACAAGAATTTTCTTAAAATTTGGGCTAGCGATTTGTGGGAGCGGTCATGAAAACGTAGATTGTTTCAATTTTTGGCATATATTTAAAAAAATTAATATGTGAATAGGTGAGTAAAAGACACTGAAACAAGCATTGGACCATTTCGAATAAATTACATCAAAGTGATTTTCGATATTTACATTTAAATCATAAATTGTAAATATGGATATCCGTCGTTCAACACTCCATTATCTCACTTTTAGTGTAAAATCAAATTTGTACAGACTTGTACATTGTACGATAATCAATATAAAACAATAGTGGCATGGTTACCGATGTAGTTGTCATAGTAACAATAATTTTAACAAGTTTTAACATTTAAGTTAAAACGCGGACAGCCCGGGTGAGATGCCTCAAAAAATCAACATTCAGAAATGATATTATCTATAAACCAAGTGGGCGAATATATTTTACCACAATAAAACTCATGATTTAGGATATCCTGTAAGGGGGAGCGTGCATTGTAAATTTTATTTCATACTACTCCGGAAAAGACCAATACTGAACTGGTGGTTTTGTCATGCTAAATCTCACAGGAAAGTTGAAACCAAAACCTTGTTAAGCTTAAACATCATATAAAATAGATCAAAAATGACCAAAATATAAAAATAGCCCATCAGGTGGCAGGTTGCCATGACAACGACTCCAGGTGAATGGTCCGTCACCAAGTAACGAGTAATGATTCTTCAGAAGAACTTGCCGCCCATTTTCCCACCCCCAAATTTGGCAGGGCCCTTTTTGCCGGCTCCCCCGATCCCAGGTTTTGCTCCCATGCCAGACTTAGCTGGTGGTTTATGCGGAACGTACGGTTTCTTCGCCCCGACAGCAGAACTTGTAGGTTTACTGAAGTTAGAGACTGATTTGGTCTTGACGGCAGCTTTCTGCCAGTTAGATCGGGGACCAGGTTTTGAAGGGACGTTAGAGGACGGGAGAGAGGACTTGATTTGGAGAGAACTTGGTTTGTTAGACTGGATAGAACTGGCCTTGCTAGCGATTGAATTGGATCTGACCAAGGAACCAGACTTCTGTGCCAAGTTACCCCTGGTATTTAGCGGGGCAGGTTTCCCTGAGCCCGGGGCATGTTTCCCTGGGCCCGTCTGTTTAGGGGCGCTGGTAAGTCTGTTAACCGCCATTGTTCTGCTTTTAGCAGTAGCCCACTTAGAGGAGGCACTGGAGGGTGGTTGCCTAGGTAACTGCCGTGTTTTGCTTTTAGAGAGCCACTTCTTAGCGGCTCCTTCTGAACTGGTGCTACTAGGACGGTTGCCAAGGTTACTGCTACTTTTATTCGCTCTCACAAGTTTGGGGGGCTGGTCAGATCTGTTTTTAGAGAGCTCCTTGTGACTCTCCTTCTCTTCCACTTTGCCCCGCCACTTTGAAACCACTTTCTCAGCCTTCAGCTCCTCTATCTTATCGGTGTTCTGCAATGGTCTTAGTTCGCATGTTAAAATAACACTTTCAGCAACTGCCCAGCAAGAAAACTCTCAGCCGCATTCCCATTAGCAATTGATGACGTCATGATCAAATAATGACGTCATAATCAAACAATGGCGTCATCCATTTAATCAGCATCTTATCAGTATCTAATGTGAACACCTTAGTTAAAATTTACAAAAGTTCAGTTCTTCGAGTTTTAGTTTTTAAAACAAATTATCAGAGCAATTTGAGCGATATAAGCAGTGCGTAGCAGTCATTCATCATCATAATTGTTGCTATAGCAACTAGCTGTCATTTTCACACTCCAGTTCATCTTATCTTAAACTGAGGGGTGTAGCATTATCAAACTATCAAAGTATTACCTTATATGGGCATCACGTGTTAAGTATTAAGGGGAGGGGAATCAAACTAATTACAGCTTCATAGCGCTTTCATGCCAAATCGCATAACGGTCTAATATGATAATATCTGATATCTAGCGAGGCCACCAGAATACCTTCTGGTTACCTCGGTTACTATGGTTACCTTCTCGAGATCCTGTGCTACGTCCTCAAAGTGGCTATCTTGAAAGGCTTTGGTTCGCATCTCGGACCGGAAGGCGTTCCTCCAGCCGTGGTGGTTTTCCATTCGTCCGTTTCTTGTGAGGTCCTCTGACACTGCCTGAAAAAGACTTTTTATACCCCTTAGAGGGCTGCTTCAGCAAGAGGGACAAGAGAAAGAGAAAAAAGACAAGAGAAAGAAGTTTTTAAGCGTGCAGGTTTTGAAAAGTTGTAGTTTTTATGTGGAGAGGGTATGGAGGTAATAGTGTGGAGGTAATAGTGGAGGTAATAGTGTGGAGGTAATAGTGTGGAGGTATAGTGTGGAGGTAATAGTGTGGAGGTAATAGTGGAGGTAATAGTGGAGGTAAAACTGGAGGTAATAGTGTGGAGGTAATAGTGGAGGTAATAGTGTGGAGGTAATAGTGTGGAGGTAATAGTGTAGAGGTAATAGTGTGGAGGTAATAGTGGGGAGGTAATAGTGGGGAGGTAATAGTGGAGTTAGTAGTGTGGAGGTAATAGTGTGGAGTGTGGAGGTAATAGTGTGGAGGTAATAGTGTAGAGGTAATAGTGTGGAGGTAATAGTGGGGAGGTAATAGTGGGGAGGTAATAGTGGAGTTAGTAGTGTGGAGGTAATAGTGTGGAGTGTGGAGGTAATAGTGTGGAGGTAATAGTGTGGAGGTAATAGTGTGGAGGTAATAGTGTGGAGGTAATAGTGTGGAGGTAATTGTGTGGAGGTAATAGTGTGGAGGTAATAGTGTGGAGGTAATAGTGTAGAGGTAATAGTGTGGAGGTAATAGTGTGGAGGTAATAGTGTGGATGTAATTGTGGAGGTAATAGTGGAGGTAATAGTGTGGAGGTAATAGTAGAGGTAATAGTGGAGGTAATAGTGTGGAGGTAATAGTGTGGAGGTAATAGTAGAGGTAATAGTGGAGGTAATAGTGTGGAGGTAATAGTGTGGAGGTAATAGTGTGGAGGTAATAGTGTGGAGGTGATAGTGTAGGTAATAGTGTGGATGTAATTGTGGAGGTAATAGTGTGGAGGTAATAGTGTGGAGGTAATAGTGTGGAGGTAATAGTGGAGGTAATAGTGTGGGTAATAGTGTGGAGGTAATAGTGTGGAGGTAATAGTGTGGAGGTAATAGTGGAGGTAATAGTGTGGAGGTAATAGTGGAGGTAATAGTGTGGAGGTAATAGTGTGGAGGTAATGGTGTAGAGGTAATAGTGTGGAGGTAATAGTGTGGAGGTAATAGTGTGGAGGTAATAGTGGGGAGGTAATAGTGGAGGTAATAGTGTGGAGGTAATAGTGTGGAGGTAATAGTGGGGAGGTAATAGTGGAGGTAATAGTGTGGAGGTAATAGTGTGGAGGTAATAGTGGAGGTAATAGTGTGGAGGTAATAGTGTGGAGTGTGGAGGTAATAGCGTATTCTTAGCGTCTATTAGAGTGTAAGCTGGAAAATAAATAGTGTGTAATTGCAAGACTATGTGGAGAGTGCTTTCTTTGACACAGTTTCTCCCATTGTATAGCTTTATATTTAGTAAGATGTGGTTACCAGACTGACGAAAGCAGTTCACTAATCATCATAATGATGGGTCATTTGTTCACGAAATTAGTAGGACTGAATGCTAGCATAGCCCATAGGCTAAATAAGAGATAAGATAGAGCAGCTTTCTAAGTGTTACTAGCGCGTTACTATGGTTTGCTATTAGCGCGTTACTATGGTTACTATTAGCGCGCCCAGGTCAATATCATTAAAAATATGTCGTATATTATTATATCTGGGTGAAATATGTCATGGTTTTTATCACCCGATGGGGCATTTTTGGGCCCCACAATGATCCAAATTGGCAGAGCCCGATCCAGGGGGACAAAGCCTGCTACAGGCGAGTCCTACAAAAATTTATTAAAAAATTCTTAACTTTTTTGATATAATTTTTCAAACACAAGGATATTTTTTATATGATATCCCCCGTCAGATATTTAGATCCATGTCAAATATGCGCTCATCTTATCAAATATGCGGGGACGTTTTTCATGTCAAGTTTAGCCTGTAAAATACAGGTAAAAATATGCGTGAACTTTCTCAGATATTTGTAAATCATGACATGATGTCAAGATTTCGGATGTCATGATTTCGGATGTCATGAAAATATCAAAATATTCGCAAAATTTTTTCAAGAAAATTTTTCGAAAAAAATTTTTTTTAAAGGAATTCTGCAATCAACTATTTCTGAAATTAAATTAATTTGTAACAAAATTTAACAATAATTTTGTTATGTCGTGGTTTTCCTTCGAAATATGTCGTATATTAATATGCGAAATATGTAATGATATTGACCTGGGTTAGCGCGTTACTATGGTTACTGTAGCGCGTTACTATGGTTACTGTAGTGCAACGTTAAGCCATCGGAGCAATAGTACATGAATAAGTATAAGCAGAGCTGCATAGTGGATGTAGATCGAGATACCAACTATCAGTATAAATAGCTAAATGCAATGCTTGTATAAGTATAAACTATCAAGGTAATAGCTACAGTCAACTGGATAGCATAGTTAGATCTCCACCTAATAACTATAGTTAAAGTAATAACCACAGTAACGCTTAAAACCATAGTAACAGTAATTATTAGTTACCTCTTCCTCAGCTCTTGTTTGTTTCACAACCTCATCTAAAACTGCACACTTCATCATAGCATTACCACCTCTGTACCGACCTCCTCCTCCTCCTCCACTCTTCTTTCCTCGTTGCGACTTCTTCTTCTCTTCACAATTGTTCTCATCTCCAAACCCGTCCTCGTCTAGAAGCTGTAAATGTTTAATCTTAGAGTGGCTGGTGACCAAGTAACCAAATGGCTGGTTACCAAGCAACCAGTTAATTTGAAGGTCAGTGTGGAGTGACATTGAATATGGAGGATCGATCTAGCGACCTCAAAAGTCGATCTGGGGAAGCCACAGAAAATGTGGATGATTTCATTTACTTAGGCTCCAGGATTGAGAGCACAGATAGGGAGATAAGGGTTAGAAAAGGAAAAGCATGGGGTGCCCTACATAGACTGAAGGATATCTGGAAATCGAAGAGCCTTAAGATAAGATTGTTCATAGCGGCTTGTGAGTCAGCACTGCTCTACGGATCAGAAACCTGGAAACTGACAAAGGCTCAAGAGAAAAGTTTGGACGGGACATACACAAAGATGCTACGTACGGTGCTGGGTATCTCATGGAAGGACAAGGTCAGCAATATAACTTTGTATGGTAGCCTACCAAGGCTGTCAAACAATTTACGAAGCAGGAGATTAAAATGGCCGGACACTGCATCCGACATCCTGAGCTACTTGCCAGTGATTTAGTCTTATGGGAACCTACGCACGGTAGAGCACGGCAAGGCCGACCAAGACAAAGCTACTTGTCTATGTTACTAAGGGAAGTTGGGACAAACTCTAAAGAGGAACTGCGAACCCTGATGCGGGACAGGAATATATGGAGGGGTTATCTGGTGTAGATCGGACTTAGTTCCGACATAGTAGAAGTAGTAGTAGTCATGACGTTACCATGGTTACTAGCAGTAGTAGTAGTAGTAGTAGTAGTAGTAGTAGTAGTAGTAGTAGTAGTAGTAGTAGTAGTAGTAGTAGTAGTAGTAGTAGTAGTAGTAGTAGTAGTAGTAGTAGAAGTAGTAGTAGTAGTAGTAGTAGTAGTAGTAGTAGTAGTAGTAGTAGTAGTAGTAGTAGTAGTAGTAGTAGTAGTAGTAGTAGTAGTAGTAGTAGTAGTAGTAGTAGTAGTAGTAGTAGTAGTAGTAGTAGTAGTAGTAGTAGTAGTAGTAGTAGTAGTAGTAGTAGTAGTAGTAGTAGTAGTAGTAGTAGTAGTAGTAGTAGTAGTAGTAATAGTAGTAGTAGTAGTAGTAGTAGTAGTACAATAAATAGTCACCTCAAGAAGAGTAGCATTCTTGGCGGCAGCGTTTTTATCTTCCTCCTTCTTCTTTTCCTCCTCCTCTTCTTTAGATCTATCAGAGGAGTTAGACAGGTTTGATAGAGTTGATGTCATGACGTTACCATGGTTACTAGTGACGTTCTTCTTGTCAGATTTAGAAGTCACGTGACCATTAGAGATATTCTTCTTTACGGTTCGAGGAGTCATGACGTTACCATGGTTACTAGGAGACCTGCACCGCGCTATTATTGAGTTCTTAACGTTAGCAAGGTCTGATTTTGTAGGAACTCCTAGTCTTTTCCCACTCTTTGATTTTCTGAGGGTAGTTTAAATATGGGATATAGTCGGTTGGGGAGATGAGGTACTAACTTTTTATTATCAGGGGCAGGGGAGATGAGGTACTTACTTTTTATTATCAGGGGCAGGGGAGATGAGGTACTAACTTTTTATTATCAGGGGCAGGGGAGATGAGGTACTAACTTTTTATTATCAGGGGCAGGGGAGATGAGGTACTAACTTTTTATTATCAGGGGCAGGGGAGATGAGGTACTAACTTTATATTATCAGGAGCAGGGGAGATGAGGTACTAACTTTTTATTATCAGGGGCAGGGGAGATGAGGTACTAACTTTTTATTATCAGGGGCAGGGGAGATGAGGTAGTAACTTTTTATTATCGGGGACAGGGGAGATGAGGTACTAACTTTTTATTATCAGGGGCAGGGGAGATGAGGTACTAACTTTTTATTATCAGGGGCAGGGGAGATGAGGTACTAACTTTTTATTATCAGGGGCAGGGGAGATGAGGTAGTAACTTTTTATTATCAGGGGCAGGGGAGATGAGGTACTAACTTTTTATTATCAGGGGCAGGGGAGATGAGGTACTAACTTTATATTATCAGGAGCAGGGGAGATGAGGTACTAACTTTTTATTATCAGGGGCAGGGGAGATGAGGTACTAACTTTTTATTATCAGGGGCAGGGGAGATGAGGTAGTAACTTTTTATTATCGGGGACAGGGGAGATGAGGTACTAACTTTTTATTATCAGGGGCAGGGGAGATGAGGTACTAACTTTTTATTATCAGGGGCAGGGGAGATGAGGTAGTAACTTTTTATTATCAGGGGCAGGGGAGATGAGGTACTAACTTTTTATTATCAGGGGCAGGGGAGATGAGGTACTAACTTTATATTATCAGGAGCAGGGGAGATGAGGTACTAACTTTTTATTATCAGGGGCAGGGGAGATGAGGTACTAACTTTTTATTATCAGGGGCAGGGGAGATGAGGTACTAACTTTTTATTATCAGGGGCAGGGGAGATGAGGTACTAACTTTATATTATCAGGAGCAGGGGAGATGAGGTACTAACTTTTTATTATCAGGGGCAGGGGAGATAAGGTACTAACTTTATATTATCAGGAGCAGGGGAGATGAGGTACTAACTTTTTATTATCAGGGGCAGGGGAGAGGAGGTACCAACTTTTTATTATCAGGGGCAGGGGAGATGAGGTACTAACTTTTTATTATCAGGGGCAGGGGAGATGAGGTACTAACTTTTTATTATCAGGGGCAGGGGAGATGAGGTACTAACTTTTTATTATCAGGGGCAGGGGAGATGAGGTACTAACTTTATATTATCAGGAGCAGGGGAGATGAGGTACTAACTTTTTATTATCAGGGGCAGGGGAGATAAGGTACTAACTTTATATTATCAGGAGCAGGGGAGATGAGGTACTAACTTTTTATTATCAGGGGCAGGGGAGATGAGGTACTAACTTTTTATTATCAGGGGCAGGGGAGATGAGGTACTAACTTTTTATTATCAGGGGCAGGGGAGATGAGGTACTAACTTTTTATTATCAGGGGCAGGGGAGATGAGGTACTAACTTTTTATTATCAGGGGCAGGGGAGATGAGGTACTAACTTTATATTATCAGGAGCAGGGGAGATAAGGTACTAACTTTTTATTATCAGGGGCAGGGGAGATGAGGTAGTAACTTTTTATTATCAGGGGCAGGGGAGATAAGGTACTAACTTTATATTATCAGGAGCAGGGGAGATGAGGTACTAACTTTTTATTATCAGGGGCAGGTGAGATGAGGTACTAACTTTTTATTATCAGGGGCAGGGGAGATGAAGTACTAACTTTTTATTATTAGGGGCAGGGGAGATGAGGTACTAACTTTTTATTATCAGGGGCAGGGGAGATGAGGTACTAACTTTTTATTATCAGGGGCAGGGGAGATGAGGTACTAACTTTTTATTATCAGGGGCAGGGGAGATGAGGTACTAACTTTTTATTATCAGGGGCAGGGGAGATGAGGTACTAACTTTTTATTATCAGGGGCAGGGGAGATGAGGTACTAACTTTTTATTATCAGGGGCAGGGGAGATGAGGTACTAACTTTTTATTATCAGGGGCAGGGGAGATGAGGTACTAACTTTTTATTATCAGGGGCAGGGGAGATGAGGTACTAACTTTTATTATATTATCAGGGGCAGGGGAGATGAGGTACTAACTTTTTATTATCAGGAGCAGGGGAGATGAGGTACTAACTTTTATTATATTATCAGGGGCAGGGGAGATGAGGTACTAACTTTTTATTATCAGGGGCAGGGGAGATGAGGTACTAACTTTTTATTATCAGGGGCAGGGGAGATGAGGTACTAACTTTTTATTATCAGGGGCAGGGGAGATGAGGTACTAACTTTTTATTATCAGGGGCAGGGGAGATGAGGTACTTACTTTTTATTATCAGGGGCAGGGGAGATGAGGTACTAACTTTTTATTATCAGGGGCAGGGGAGATGAGGTACTAACTTTTTATTATCAGGAGCAGGGGAGATGAGGTACTAACTTTTTATTATATTATCAGGGGCAGGGGAGATGAGGTACTAACTTTTTATTATCAGGGGCAGGGGAGATGAGGTACTAACTTTTTATTATCAGGGGCAGGGGAGATGAGGTACTAACTTTTTATTATCAGGAGCAGGGGAGATGAGGTACTAACTTTTTATTATATTATCAGGGGCAGGGGAGATGAGGTACTAACTTTTTATTATCAGGGGCAGGGGAGATGAGGTACTAACTTTTTATTATCAGGGGCAGGGGAGATGAGGTACTAACTTTTTATTATCAGGGGCAGGGGAGATGAGGTACTAACTTTTTATTATCAGGGGCAGGGGAGATGAGGTACTAACTTTTTATTATCAGGGGCAGGGGAGATGAGGTACTAACTTTTTATTATCAGGGGCAGGGGAGATGAGGTACTAACTTTTTATTATCAGGAGCAGGGGAGATGAGGTACTAACTTTTATTATTATCAGGGGCAGGGGAGATGAGGTACTAACTTTTTATTATCAGGGGCAGGGGAGATGAGGTACTAACTTTTTATTATCAGGGGCAGGGGAGATGAGGTACTAACTTTTTATTATCAGGGGCAGGGGAGATGAGGTACTAACTTTTTATTATCAGGGGCAGGGGAGATGAGGTACTTACTTTTTATTATCAGGGGCAGGGGAGATGAGGTACTAACTTTTTATTATCAGGGGCAGGGGAGATGAGGTACTAACTTTTTATTAACAGGGGCAGGGGAGATGAGGTACTAACTTTTTATTATCAGGAGCAGGGGAGATGAGGTACTAACTTTTTATTATCAGGGGCAGGGGAGATGAGGTACTAACTTTTTATTATCAGGGGCAGGGGAGATGAGGTACTAACTTTTTATTATCAGGGGCAGGGGAGATGAGGTACTAACTTTTTATTATCAGGGGCAGGGGAGATGAGGTACTAACTTTATATTATCAGGGGCAGGGGAGATGAGGTACTTACTTTTTATTATCAGGGGCGGGGGAGATGAGGTACTAACTTTTTATTATCAGGGGCGGGGGAGATGAGGTACTAACTTTTTATTATCAGGGGCAGGGGAGATGAGGTACTAACTTTTTATTATCAGGGGCAGGGGAGATGAGGTACTAACTTTTTATTATCAGGGGCAGGGGAGATGAGGTACTAACTTTTTATTATCAGGGGCAGGGGAGATGAGGTACTAACTTTTTATTATCAGGGGCAGGGGAGATGAGGTACTTACTTTTTATTATCAGGGGCAGGGGAGATGAGGTACTAACTTTTTATTATCAGGGGCAGGGGAGATGAGGTACTAACTTTTTATTATCAGGGGCAGGGGAGATGAGGTACTAACTTTTTATTATCAGGGGCAGGGGAGATGAGGTACTAACTTTTTATTATCAGGGACAGGGGAGATGAGGTACTAACTATTTATTATCAGGGGCGGGGGAGATGAGGTACTAACTTTTTATTATCAGGGGCAGGGGAGATGAGGTACTTACTTTTTATTATCAGGGGCAGGGGAGATGAGGTACTAACTTTTTATTATCAGGGGCAGGGGAGATGAGGTACTAACTTTTTATTATCAGGTGCAGGGGAGATGAGGTACTAACTTTTTATTATCAGGGGCAGGGGAGATGAGGTACTAACTTTTTATTATCAGGGGCAGGGGAGATGAGGTACTAACTTTTTATTATCAGGGGCAGGGGAGATGAGGTACTAACTTTTTATTATCAGGGGCAGGGGAGATGAGGTACTAACTTTTTATTATCAGGGGCAGGGGAGATGAGGTACTAACTTTTTATTATCAGGGGCAGGGGAGATGAGGTAATAACTTTTTATTATCAGGAGCAGGGGAGATGAGGTACTAACTTTTTATTATCAGGGGCAGGGGAGATGAGGTACTAACTTTTTATTAACAGGGGCAGGGGAGATGAGGTACTAACTTTTTATTATCAGGGGCAGGGGAGATGAGGTACTAACTTTTTATTATCAGGGGCAGGGGAGATGAGGTACTTACTTTTTATTATCAGGGGCAGGGGAGATGAGGTACTAACTTTTTATTATCAGGGGCAGGGGAGATGAGGTACTAACTTTTTATTATCAGGGGCAGGGGAGATGAGGTACTAACTTTTTATTATCAGGGACAGGGGAGATGAGGTACTAACTTTTTATTATCAGGGGCAGGGGAGATGAGGTACTAACTTTTTATTATCAGGGGCAGGGGAGATGAGGTACTAACTTTTTATTATCAGGGGCAGGGGAGATGAGGTACTAACTTTTTATTATCAGGGCAGGGGAGATGAGGTACTAACTTTTTATTATCAGGGGCAGGGGAGATGAGGTACTAACTTTTTATTATCAGGGGCAGGGGAGATGAGGTACTAACTTTTTATTATCAGGGGCAGGGGAGATGAGGTACTAACTTTTTATTATCAGGGGCAGGGGAGATGAGGTACTAAACTTTTTATTATCAGGGGCAGGGGAGATGAGGTACTAACTTTTTATTATCAGGGGCAGGGGAGATGAGGTACTAACTTTTTATTATCAGGGGCAGGGGAGATGAGGTACTAACTTTTTATTATCAGGGGCAGGGGAGATGAGGTACTAACTTTTTATTATCAGGGGCAGGGGAGATGAGGTACTAACTTTTTATTATCAGGGGCAGGGGAGATGAGGTACTAACTTTTTATTATCAGGGGCAGGGGAGATGAGGTACTAACTTTTTATTATCAGGGGCAGGGGAGATGAGGTACTAACTTTTTATTATCAGGGGCAGGGGAGATGAGGTACTAACTTTTTATTATCAGGGGCAGGGGAGATGAGGTACTAACTTTTTATTATCAGGGGCAGGGGAGATGAGGTACTAACTTTTTATTATCAGGGGCAGGGGAGATGAGGTACTAACTTTTTATTATCAGGGGCAGGGGAGATGAGGTACTAACTTTTTATTATCAGGGGCAGGGGAGATGAGGTACTAACTTTTTATTATCAGGGGCAGGGGAGATGAGGTACTAACTTTTTATTATCAGGGGCAGGGGAGATGAGGTACTAACTTTTTATTATCAGGGGCAGGGGAGATGAGGTACTAACTTTTTATTATCAGGGGCAGGGGAGATGAGGTACTAACTTTTTATTATCAGGGGCAGGGGAGATGAGGTACTAACTTTTTATTATCAGGGGCAGGGGAGATGAGGTACTAACTTTTTATTATCAGGGGCAGGGGAGATGAGGTACTAACTTTTTATTATCAGGGGCAGGGGAGATGAGGTACTAACTTTTTATTATCAGGGGCAGGGGAGATGAGGTACTAACTTTTTAAAATCAGGGGCAGGGGAGATGAGGTACTAACTTTTTATTATCAGGGGCAGGGGAGATGAGGTACTAACTATTTATTATCAGGGGCAGGGGAGATGAGGTACTAACTTTTTATTATCAGGGGCAGGGGAGATGAGGTACTAACTTTTTATTATCAGGGGCAGGGGAGATGAGGTACTAACTTTTTATTATCGGGGCAGGGGAGATGAGGTACTAACTTTTTATTATCAGGGGCAGGGGAGATGAGGTACTAACTTTTTATTATCAGGGGCAGGGGAGATGAGGTACTTACTTTTTATTATCAGGGGCAGGGGAGATGAGGTACTAACTTTTTATTATCAGGGGCAGGGGAGATGAGGTACTAACTTTTTATTATCAGGGGCAGGGGAGATGAGGTACTAACTTTATATTATCAGGAGCAGGGGAGATGAGGTACTAACTTTTTATTATCAGGGGCAGGGGAGATGAGGTACTAACTTTTTATTATCAGGGGCGGGGGAGATGAGGTACTAACTTTTTATTATCAGGGGCAGGTGAGATGAGGTACTTACTTTTTATTATCAGGGGCAGGTGAGATGAGGTACTAACTTTTTATTATCAGGGGCAGGGGAGATGAGGTACTAACTTTTTATTATCAGGGGCAGGGGAGATGAGGTACTAACTTTTTATTATCAGGGGCAGGGGAGATGAAGTACTAACTTTTTATTATCAGGGGCAGGGGAGATGAGGTACTAACTTTTTATTATCAGGGGCAGGGGAGATGAGGTACTAACTTTTTATTATCAGGGGCGGGGGAGATGAGGTACTAACTTTTTATTATCAGGGGCAGGTGAGATGAGGTACTTACTTTTTATTATCAGGGGCAGGGGAGATGAGGTACTAACTTTTTATTATCAGGGGCAGGGGAGATGAGGTACTAACTTTTTATTATCAGGGGCAGGGGAGATGAGGTACTAACTTTTTATTATCAGGGGCAGGGGAGATGAGGTACTTACTTTTTATTATCGGGGGCAGGGGAGATGAGGTACTTACTTTTTATTATCAGGGGCAGGGGAGATGAGGTACTAACTTTTTATTATCAGGGGCAGGGGAGATGAGGTACTAACTTTTTATTATCAGGGGCAGGGGAGATGAGGTACTAACTTTTTATTATCAGGGGCAGGGGAGATGAGGTACTAACTTTTTATTATCAGGGGCAGGGGAGATGAGGTACTAACTTTTTATTATCAGGGGCAGGGGAGATGTGGTACTAACTTTTTATTATCAGGGGCAGGGGAGATGAGGTACTAACTTTTTATTATCAGGGGCAGGGGAGATAAGGTCCACTAGAGAAATCTGCGAGCCTCGTCGTGTTATTATCAGGGGCAGGGGAGATGAGGTACTAACTTTTTATTATCAGGGGCAGGGGAGATGTGGTACTAACTTTTTATTATCAGGGGCAGGGGAGATGAGGTACTAACTTTTTATTATCAGGGGCAGGGGAGATAAGGTCCACTAGAGAAATCTGCGAGCCTCGTCGTGAGCCTCTCCTGGAGGAAGGTGGACTAAGACCTTCTAGAAGGTGCTCTCCGATATCACTCATTGCCTGAAAGTTTCCAACAAAGTAACAGCAATGTTTACACATGTTACTAGTAACCATGGTTACACATGTCACTAGTAACCATGGTTACACATGTTACTAGTAACCATGGTTACACATGTCACTAGTAACCATGGTTACACATGTCACTAGTAACCATGGTTACACATGTTACAACACATAAACGTTCGTTGGAGTTCTTTTATTATTTCTACTAATACAAAAGCTCCAATGTTTTACCAAAGAGAAAATTTAACATGTGAAATCTGCAAAATTTAACACACTAGTGTTCTGGTAACTAGTCACTATGGTTACCATGCGGTTAATATAGCTACAATCAGAGACAAGAGGAAAAGTAACTCACCTCAAAGAGACTCTTCTCTGAATCCCACTCTCTGACAGGGGGGAACATTAAAGGGGCACTGGGGGCAGGAGGCGAGGGGGGACTTTCTCTGTCAGTCCTGATGGAGGGGGGTTATATTATTAGTTCATAACATTATATAATTATATTATTAGTTCATAATATTATATAATTATATTATTAGTTCATAATAATCTTTATAATCTAGTTTATTAGCAACTATCCAGTATCCTGGTTATTACCATTGTACGACCTCTACACCATGACTGTGATTAGTACTGGAGAGTGGAGGTGTATATTCTATATTAGTGCTAGTATTAGAGGTGTATCAATAATGTCACTGGAATATGAAAATGTTGCACAATAACCCCAATAAATAAGGCTACCAATGGGTTAGGGTAAATAATGTTAAGGTAGTGTTAAAATACAATACTTGAAGGTAGGTATATCAAATACATTCTCATTTCAATAGCTTAATTAAAAGTTTATATTTTTACTTTGATGTCATTACACTCTAAACTTGATCAGACAAAGAAGCTAGTTGTTGGCTAACCTAGGAGTAGGGTTGCCTGGTTACCTGGTTACTAACCTAGGAGTGGGGTTGCCTGGTTACTAACCTAGGAGTGGGGTTACCTGGTTACTTAGTTACTAACCTAGGAGTGGGGTTACCTGGTTACTTAGTTACTAACCTAGGAGTGGGGTTGCCTGGTTACCTGGTTACTAGCCTAGGAGTGGGGTTGCCTGGTTACTAACCTAGGAGTGGGGTTACCTGGTTACTAACCTAGGAGTGGGGTTACCTGGTTACTTAGTTACTAACCTAGGAGTGGGGTTGCCTGGTTACCTGGTTACTAACCTAGGAGTGGGGTTACCTGGTTACTTGGTTACTAACATAGGATTAGGGTTGCCTGGTTACCTGGTTACTAACCTAGGAGTGGGGTTGCCTGGTTACCTGGTTACTAACCAAGGAGTGGGGTTACCTGGTTACTTGGTTACTAACCTAGGAGTGGGGTTGCCTGGTTACCTGGTTACTAACCAAGGAGTGGAGTTGCCTGGTTCCTAACCTAGGAGTGGGGTTACCTGGTTACTTGGTTACTAACCTAGGAGTGGGGTTGCCTGGTTACCTGGTTACGAACCTAGGAGTGGGGTTGCCTGGTTACTAACCTAGGAGTGGGGTTGCCTGGTTATTTGGTTACTAACCTAGGAGTGGGGTTGCCTGGTTACCTGGTTACGAACCTAGGAGTGGGGTTGCCTGGTTACGAACCTAGGAGTGGGGTTGCCTGGTTACCTGGTTACGAACCTAGGAGTGGGGTTACCTGGTTACTAACCTAGGAGTGGGGTTACCTGGTTACTAACCTAGGAGTGGGGTTGCCTGGTTACTAACCTAGGAGTGGGGTTACCTGGTAACGAACCTAAAAGTGGGGTTGCCTGGTTACCTGGTTACTAACCTAGGAGTGGGGTTGCCTGGTTATCTGGTTACTAACCTAGGAGTGGGGTTGCCTGGTTACCTGGTTACTAACCTATGAGTGGGGTTGCCTGGTTACCTGGTTACTAACCTAGGAGTGGGGTTACCTGGTTACTAACCTAGGAGTGGGGTTGCCTGGTTACCTGGTTACGAACCTAGGAGTGGGGTTACCTGGTTACTAACCTAGGAGTGGGGTTGCCTGGTTACTAACCTAGGAGTGGGGTTACCTGGTAACGAACCTAGGAGTGGGGTTGCCTGGTTACCTGGTTACTAACCTAGGAGTGGGGTTGCCTGGTTATCTGGTTACTAACCTAGGAGTGGGGTTGCCTGGTTACCTGGTTACTAACCTATGAGTGGGGTTGCCTGGTTACCTGGTTACTAACCTAGGAGTGGGGTTACCTGGTTACTAACCTAGGAGTGGGGTTGCCTGGTTACCTGGTTACTAACCTAGGAGTGGGGTTACCTGGTTACTAACCTAGGAGTGGGGTTGCCTGGTTACCTGGTTACTAACCTAGGAGTGGGGTTACCTGGTTACTAACCTAGGAGTGGGGTTGCCTGGTTACCTGGTTACTAACCTAGGAGTGGGGTTGCCTGGTTACCTGGTTACTAACCTAGGAGTGGGGTTGCCTGGTTATCTGGTTACTAACCTAGGAGTGGGGTTACCTGGTTACTAACCTAGGAGTGGGGTTGCCCGGTTACTAACCTAGGAGTGGGGTTGCCTGGTTACCTGGTTACTAACCTAGGAGTGGGGTTACCTGGTTACTAACCTAGGAGTGGGGTGGCCTGGTTACCTGGTTACTAACCTAGGAGTGGGTTGCCTGGTTACCTGGTTACTAACCTAGGATTAGGGTTGCCTGGTTACCTGGTTACTAACCTAGGAGTAGGGTTGCAGGTCTTCATGAGAGTAGTGCTGCTGCCCGAGGTAGAGTTACAAGCTGACGTGTTGTTCTGAGCCCAGACCCAACTACTCATGTTTACTGAGTTTTGTATGAGGTGCTCCACTGCTGACATTCCGAACCATTTACACACGTTTGGTATGCCTTTACTCCTCTTCCTCTTAGTGAGGTGGGTGTACCTGGATAATAATAACAGGTGAGGTGGGTGTACCTGGATAATAGTAACAGGTGAGGTGGGTGTACCTGGATAATAATAACAGGTGAGGTGGGTGTTGAGTGCACACCCTCTAGATGCACACATTCTCCTGAAAGTAAGAGTAGAAATACTGATAAATGACAGTGTCTCACTTGTCTAGATGGAAGATGGTCTGATTAGGTTCTGTTTGGAGTTGATCAGGAGCTGTCGTCTCCAGCAGGTTTGTCTGACTCCTGTCTGAGGAGGGGTCTTTCTCCGTCTGTGTCTCTGAATCTGACGTTACGAACCTGATCTTCATGTCTTGAGAGGACACTCCTGAAATTAATAGTGCTATTACCATGAGGCGGGGGCGGGTGGACAAAGGTTCGTCAGCTCAGCAGCCCAGAAGTGAAAGTCAGTCCTGATCGGCACAAGACTGAGGATGATACTTCTAGATAATAACACAAACTCCCAGTATGATATAAGTCTAACCTGAAGTAGTCTCTGAAGCTGTACCATCCTTCTCTGTTGATTTTCTAAGTATGGAGGGGCGCCCACACGGTACAGTACCGTTACTCTTACCAACTCCAGGTACAGTACCGTTACTGCGGGGCTTGGAGGCATCTCCGTTGTCTCTTACTCTGTTACTTGACTGATGGAGTTGCCTGAGAATAGGGACTGTTACCATGGTTACTAATAGTGAGTTACTAAGTTACTTAGTAACAGATCTATAACTTACTAAGATATGGACTGTTACCATGGTTACTAATAGTGAGTTACCTCTCTATCACTAAGTGATTACAACTTCCTCTCCTATTCTGAACCGTCATTAACATTAACACAAATAACACAATATACTACTACACTACAAAATATAACACTACTGCGAATATTATAAAACTAAAATACAGATTTTAGTACAAGGAAAATTAATGTAGCCCAATTGAAGGAAATCTAAGTGGGTGAGTGAGTGAAGTTGTATGAATTGTTGTTATGACAATGGGTTACCATGGTAACAATGGCTACAACGAGTAACCATAATAATAATGGTAATAATGGCTACAATGTGTTACCATGGATACAACTTTACAATACAAACTATGAGTTACATAGTAACTGATTTAATTATTTTACCTGACTGGGAGAAACACCACAACTATTGCACCGCGGAAGAAAAAGACGCGAATGTAGCAGAATGTAAACATGACAGGAGTCAGAGGAAGAAATGAGTAGAATGATAATAAAGGGGTAAAAATAGCAATCAATTGTTTATTGAGATAACAGCTTATCCTTCTTTTGTATAGGAGTTGACAAAGAGAGAGCATTTCAAACAACGTCAATCAGAGCTGAAAAAAGAGCACAAAGAACTGGTTGTCATGGCAACAAAGGTCTGTAACAGGAAGATAGAGAGTTTGCTAATAATGAGGGATATACTACTGCTCGCTTACTCTGTCAATTTGTAACATCACTAACTCATCATATTTTACTATATGTAATATATAATATATACTAGTAATCCTTGTAATTATTACCTCATCAATTGTCTTGCTATCTTAATTGTAATTACCAATTACAAATAATAAAGTAATAAGATACACACACGTAACCAGTTCATTAAAATGTTCATTTGTGGTGCAATTTCAGGTAGTTTACAGTAACACGTACACCTTGTAGCATGTATATTGTATATATACATTATACATGCTACAAGTTTATAAACTACAGCAATGAGTGCTGTTGTACACTCATTATTTTATCATTTCAACCTGTTATTTCATTAATTACCTGCTATTTTATTAATTAAACCAAAACATCACTTAAAAATATTATACACATTAAATTCAAGTGGGACATGATCATGATATACATCAGTCATTAAGAACATAACTGCATGGATAATTAATGATATACGATAGTACATAATTACATAATTACATATAATCATGTAGCGACAGTAAGACTGTGTACACAGATAGTTGTAACATGACCAATATAGCTGCTTATTAAGGTTGCAAAGTAGCATTACATAGTTACAAGGTTGCAGGTTGTACTGAGTACACTACAAGCCTTTGCCCTTTACTGCCTTTATATCATGATATATAAATTTTATAACATTATTTGCTTTAAGGTAGCGTAGAACGTATAACATATTATAAAAATGAAACAGTAATGACTCACATGTTAATAGGCTGAATGAAGGCAGGACGAGAGGAGCGAGGTTTGAGAGTCCCGGACTCGAGCGAACTGTCCGAGTCGTACCCAATACTCTCACAAGACAAGTGGGACTCACATTGCGAGGAAATACTCTGAGGAGAAAGGTATTTGTGAAGGAGCAGCAGATAATACAGGTAAGCAATGAAATGTAAGGTAATGGTTGAAACAATGTGAGGTGCCAGTTTAGCAGTTCACAATAGAAGTAATAATGCAGTGGGTAACCATGGTAACAGTGGGTCCCGACTCAAAGTCTACGAGTAGTAGACTCAACCTTTGTTCTGGGATAATCTAGTTTATGAAGGAGCAACCAGTGAGATTCACAATACATGAGTTTCATTGACACCGCTCGCACTATATGATCAGTAAGGACAGAGGGTAGCAGCATGAATATAAATTATAAATATAGTTTATAAGAAGTGTCCATATTGAGCGGGGGAGAGGGGGGAGGTGTTTGCAGTGTCCATCTTGGGAGGGGAGGGAGGCGGGGGAGAGCAGCCTTGATGTTTGTAGTGTTTATTTAGACTATACAGACTTACAAAAGAAGACTATTTAACAACAGGTGTCCGAGGTGTTATGGAAAGTTACAGGTAAAAGTTACAGAAAATAACAGAAAATAACAATTCCTAAAGAACAGCTACAAATCCTACGTCTACTGATGTACAAAACCAAACACACCTTTTCCGGCGTTATTTCATCAGAAATATCAGGCAAAACTAAGCGACGGTACGAAGGCTTTGTTTTTTAGAAATGATATTGGTAAGTATCACTATTAGCTGCTACAGGTGTCACGTGTTGTCATGGTATCACTATTAGTTGTTACTGTGAAACCAGACACGACCATACTTCCCGTCACATCGGCTATTTTTCCAAATTTTTGCCTGTTTTTTAAAGCATAAAAACTTAAAACTCTCATAGATTTAACTGAAACACGTTTAAACCTAAAGTCAGTTGACTAATGTGATAGTTATTAATGTGTTGATGAGGTCACAGTTGTATCACAGAATTACATATTTCAGGACATATAATATCGGTGTATATCACGGAGGCAAGAACAGTGTAACAGTATTCAACTGTTATAGTAAAGACTAGGGAGACCCTGAAAAGGCTGGGGGTGGAGGGTGGGTTTGGGGGGCTCGGGCTCCAGTCTTACTTTGAGAGGATGAGATTTCATTCACCTGAGGTCTACAACACAACCAACAATCAACATGGGTACTGGTTACTGGTTACTGGTTACTGGTTACTGGTTACTGGTTACTGGTTACTGGGTACTGGTTACTGGGTACTGGTTACTGGGTACTGGGTACTGGTTACTGGGTACTGGTTACTGTTACTGGGTACTGGTTACTGGTTACTGGTTACTGGTTACTGGTTACTGGTTACTGGGTACTGGTTACTGGGTACTGGTTACTGGTTACTGGGTACTGGTTACTGGTTACTGGTTACCGGGTACTGGTTACCGGTTACCGATTACTGGTTACTGGTTACTGGGTACTGGGTACTGGTTACTGGTTACTGGTTACTGGATACTGGTTACTGGGTACTGGTTACTGGGTACTGGTTACTGGTTACTGGTTACTGGTTACTGGTTACTGGGTACTGGTTACTGGGTACTGGTTACTGGGTACTGGTTACTGGGTACTGGTTACTGGGTACTGGGTACTGGTTACTGGGTACTGGTTACTGGGTACTGGTTACTGGGTACTGGTTACTGGGTACTGGTTACTGGTTACTGGTTACAGGTTACTGGGTACTGGTTACTGGGTACTGGTTACTGGTTACTGGTTACTGGGTACTGGTTACTGGTTACTGGTTACTGGGTACTGGTTACTGGTTACTGGTTACTGGGTACTGGTTACTGGTTACTGGTTACTGGGTACTGGGTACTGGTTACTGGGTACTGGTTACTGGTTACTGGGTACTGGGTACTGGTTACTGTTACTGGGTACTGGTTACTGGTTACTGGTTACTGGTTACTGGTTACTGCTACAGATGTCACGTGTTGTCATGGTATCACTATTAGTTGTTACTGTGAAACCAGACACGACCATACTTCCTGTCACATCGGCTATTTTTCCATATTTTAACTGGTTACTGGTTACTGGGTACTGGGTACTGGTTACTGGTTACTGGGTACTGGTTACTGGGTACTGGTTACTGGGTACTGGTTACTGGTTACTGGGTACTGGGTACTGGTTACTGGGTACTGGTTACTGGTTACTGGGTACTGGTTACTGGGTACTGGTTACTGGTTACTGGGTACTGGTTACTGGGTACTGGTTACTGGGTACTGGTTACTGGGTACTGGTTACTGGTTACTGGTTACAGGTTACTGGGTACTGGTTACTGGGTACTGGTTACTGGTTACTGGGTACTGGTTACTGGTTACTGGTTACTGGGTACTGGTTACTGGTTACTGGTTACTGGTTACTGGGTACTGGGTACTGGTTACTGGGTACTGGTTACTGGTTACTGGGTACTGGGTACTGGTTACTGTTACTGGGTACTGGTTACTGGTTACTGGTTACTGGTTACTGGGTACTGGGTACTGGGTACTGGGTGACTTACCTGAGATTCGGAGTGCCTTGATCTGGAGGTTCTTCTGTTGTCCTCCCGATGTTTTGTAGAGTGTTTGGTAGAATGTTGAGTAGAGTGGTTAGTAGAGTGGTTAGTGGGGTGGTTAGTGGGGTGGTTAGTAGAGTGGTTAGTGGGGAGGGTGTGGTGGTTGGAAGAGGCGGTTAGACGGGGAGGTGGGGAGTGTGGGGGAGACTGTTGCTCTGGTGACGAGTGGTTTGACCTGAGATAAATATGAGATTTATTTGTAAATATATTTACAATTATTTATATCTGGCTACACAATATCACAAGGGTGGGCTGGTGTTATTTATCTGGCTACACAATATCACAAGGGTGAGCTGATGTTATTTATCTGGCTACACAATATCACAAGGGTGAGCTGGTGTTATTTATCTGGCTACACAATATCACAAGGGTGAGCTGGTGTTATTTATCTGGCTACACAATATCACAAGGGTGAGCTGGTGTTATTTATCTGGCTACACAATATCACAAGGGTGAGCTGGTGTTATTTATCTGGCTACACAATATCACAAGGGTGAGCTGGTGTTATTTATCTGGCTACACAATATCACAAGGGTGAGCTGGTGTTATTTATCTGGCTACACAACATCACAAGGGTGAGCTGGTGTTATTTATCTGGCTACACAATATCACAAGGGTGAGCTGATGTTATTTATCTGGCTACACAATATCACAAGGGTGAGCTGGTGTTATTTATCTGGCTACACAATATCACAAGGGTGAGCTGGTGTTATTTATCTGGCTACACAACATCACAAGGGTGAGCTGGTGTTATTTATCTGGCTACACAATATCACAAGGGTGAGCTGGTGTTATTTATCTGGCTACACAATATCACAAGGGTGAGCTGGTGTTATTTATCTGGCTACACAATATCACAAGGGTGAGCTGGTGTTATTTATCTGGCTACACAATATCACAAGGGTGAGCTGGTGTTATTTATCTGGCTACACAACATCACAAGGGTGAGCTGGTGTTATTTATCTGGCTACACAATATCACAAGGGTGAGCTGATGTTATTTATCTGGCTACACAATATCACAAGGGTGAACTGGTGTTATTTATCTGGCTACACAATATCACAAGGGTGAGCTGGTGTTATTTATCTGGCTACACAATATCACAAGGGTTAGCTGGTGTTATTTATCTGGCTACACAATATCACAAGGGTGAGCTGGTGTTATTTATCTGGCTACACAATATCACAAGGGTGAGCTGGTGTTATTTATCTGGCTACACAATATCACAAGGGTGAGCTGGTGTTATTTATCTGGCTACACAATATCACAAGGGTGAGCTGGTGTTATTTATCTGGCTACACAACATCACAAGGGTGAGCTGGTGTTATTTATCTGGCTACACAATATCACAAGGGTGAGCTGATGTTATTTATCTGGCTACACAATATCACAAGGGTGAGCTGGTGTTATTTATCTGGCTACACAATATCACAAGGGTGAGCTGGTGTTATTTATCTGGCTACACAACATCACAAGGGTGAGCTGGTGTTATTTATCTGGCTACACAATATCACAAGGGTGAGCTGGTGTTATTTATCTGGCTACACAATATCACAAGGGTGAGCTGGTGTTATTTATCTGGCTACACAATATCACAAGGGTGAGCTGGTGTTATTTATCTGGCTACACAATATCACAAGGGTGAGCTGGTGTTATTTATCTGGCTACACAATATCACAAGGGTGAGCTGGTGTTATTTATCTGGCTACACAATATCACAAGGGTGAGCTGATGTTATTTTGTTATTTATCTGGCTACACAATATCACAAGGGTGAGCTGGTGTTTTTTATCTGGCTACACAATATCACAAGGGTGAGCTGGTGTTATTTATCTGGCTACACAATATCACAAGGGTGAGCTGATGTTATTTATCTGGCTACACAATATCACAAGGGTGAGCTGATGTTATTTATCTGGCTACACAATATCACAAGGGTGAGCTGGTGTTATTTATCTGGCTACACAATATCACAAGGGTGAGCTGGTGTTATTTATCTGGCTACACAATATCACAAGGGTGAGCTGGTGTTATTCATCTGGCTACACAATATCACAAGGGTGAGCTGGTGTTATTTGGTGAGATTACCTAAGTTGTTGCAGGGAGCAGCCCAAGGAGTGGTTAGTAACGTGGTTTTGTTTGGCGAGGTGGTTAGCCATCATGAGGTTGTCGTTAGCAGGAGGATTCACCGTACAGGGAGTGGGAGGGGTCGTCACAATCTCCATCACATATCTGGGGAGTCAGTTTTAGTTTTGTGTGTTGATTTAACAGGTAAAGTACTACTACTACTACTGAACCTCCCCCCCCCCCCCCCTAAATCTACCGAACCCCCCACCCCTTAAGTCAACTGTTTAAATGTTAATGATAACCCACTCGGAAGTAATCAGTAGAATTGAGAACGTTATCTGGGACAATACAACAAAGATACAGGTCACCACCCGGCCGACAATAGCTCCAGATATAAGCTGCTGTTCAGAGAGTGACAGGAGGGAGCAGGGGGTCAGAGACAGACGAGGAGGAACATTGTCAAATGTGGACTTGAGGAGGAAGAAACAAACAGTTTAAGAGTAGAGTTTGGGGGTACTAATAAAATGTATTCGATAAAACGATGATTTTTTACGGCAAAATCAAACAATATGAATAATAAATAAATCAGTGGAGGCTTGAGGAGGTTCCAAGTGCGGAAGCCACTGCTTGCTATTCATCTTGGTGTTTTGGTTATAGTAAATAAGAGTGGAGGGAGTGTTAAAGTTATAGTAAATCAGAGTAGAGGGAGTGTTAAAGTTTCAGTAAACTAACCCCACTCTATCTGACCCGGCTGTTTCCACTTCGTTTCCGGCTTCTACCGGACCGTTCTTCCGGACCAATCCCTTGAACACGTCTTCAGGGATTTCCTCATCTTTGTCTTCCAAATCTGAGGGATTTTATTTTAGTTATTGTAACAAATGAGAAAGGCTAGAGTAGGTTCAATGCAATGTAAAATTAACTGTTGCTTAGATTAATTATACAGTAATTTATTGAGGACGTCAGTCGCCATGTCCTAATTTCCAATTAGAAATAATAGGGTTGATCTAACTTCACTGCATCTCATTCGCTAAACTGCTATTAAGTAAATCGTGCAGCTAAATTAGGGAGAGGTTTACTCTACACTTTAATTATAATAACTACACTTTAAATAATAAAGCAGCTGCAAGAAAATTGAGGTTTCCCAAACAGAGCACACAATTAAATACACACTGACATAGGTCACATAGGTAAGTAGGAGATGCTTGCTTGTAAATTTCGAGTAATATTTAATACTACGTAAAATAACGTCAAACTTCCACCCGGAAAAGTGCGCTGGATTTGTTACCATGACAACACGTGTTTCATCTCTGATTTGAGAATGCAAGAAGATAATTTTAATTAAGTTTCAAGAAGAAAATAAAACTCGAACGCAATAAGAAATAAGAATAATACCAAATCTAATATTTTTTAGAAGGTCCTAGAAGATTCTTACCTGTTGTTACCATGACAACACGTGACTATTACCTGTTGTTACCATGACAACACGTGACTATTACCTGTTGTTACCATGACAACACATGACTATTACCTGTTGTTACCATGACAACACGTGACAATTACCTGTTGTTACCGTGACAACACGTGACAATTACCTGTTGTTACCATGACAACACGTGACAGTTACCTGTTGGTACCAGCATTTAATTTCTTGTCAACATACATAACTAGACAAAACAGCTGGCGTTCATTCTCCCTACTTAACAGGTAACCATAGTAACTAGATAGTATTTAATATAGACACAGAAAATAAAAGTGAAGCTGAACAACTTCTTAGATTTATTGAGCAAAAAGTTCATAACGAACAAATAAAAAGCACTGGAATGATTCATTAGGAATAAAGAATTTAAGAATAATTGTAAATATTAAGTTTTTACATAAATACAGCACTGGAAATATCAGAAAAATTATGAAACGTATCAAAAACAAGATGGGAATTAGACAGTACTAAAAGAAAGGAGTGTGCCAATTACACACTAAACACGTCACACTACAACAAGACATATGATCAACACGTGACTCTGTTAACACACGTTACCATGACAACACGTGACTCATGACGACGTGTCACAAATACGGGCATTAGATTTGCTGCAAAAATATTGCTGAGACAATTTCCTGGTACTGATCAGACTAGAGTTAAATGTGATAATCACAATTATAGGTTACCATGACTACAATTACCACTCTAACATCACACTTAGTTAGTAGTAATACTAACGTGCCAAAAAACGAGTCCACACTAAACTACTACTGTCACCATGACAACACTACTACTACTATTACTACTGTCACCATGACAACACTACTACTACTACTACTACTACTACTACTACTGTCACCATGACAACACTACTACTACTACTACTACTACTACTACTACTACTACTACTACTACTACTACTACTACTACTGTCACCATGACAACACTACTTCTACTACTACTACTACTTCTACTACTGTCACCATGACAACACTACTACTACTACTACTACTACTACTACTACTGTCACCATGACAACACTACTACTACTACTACTACTACTACTACTACTACTGTCACCATGACAACACTACTACTACTACTACTACTACTTCTACTACTGTCACCATGACAACACTACTACTACTACTACTACTACTTCTACTACTGTCACCATGACAACACTACTACTACTACTACTACTGTCACCATGACAACACTACTACTATTACTACTGTCACTAGTAGTTAGCTAAGACTAGATTCAACTTGTTGTATTCAGCAGCTTTATCTCCTATTGAGGATTGGTAGACTGGTTCAGGGAAGTTGGTCGTTTAGCTCCGGACAGTCCGCACGGTCCCTGCACGGTCCATGCAACAACAAAAGAACACTCCATGCACGGTCCCTGCACAATGAACACTTGATGCACACTCCCTGCACAATGAACACTTGATGCACACTCCCTGCACGGTCTATGCACGGTCTATGCACGGTCCCTGCACAGTTACATATGAACACCGGCTACTAGCCACTTTTGTAATAACTAGTAGCCACTTTTGTAATAACAGCTCCTCAACTTCACATTATCAAACCGGCTACTAACCGGCACCTAAAAAGTGGTCACTAGCCGGCTACTAACCGGCTACTAGCCGGCTAGTGACCAAAAAGTGGCTACTAACCGGCTACTAGGCGGTCACTAGCCGGCTATTGGCTGAGCTCTAAAGCAGACCTACTTTCTCGAGGTTCCAAACCGGTGGCTACTTGGTGGCTACTAGCCGGTTAGTAGCCGGCTAGTGACCACTTTTTAAGTGTGCAGGGACTTACCGTGCAGGGACCGTGCATGGAGTGTTCTCATGTTGTTGCATGGACCGTGCAGGGACCGTGCATAGACTGTCCGGAGCTAAACGACCAACTTGCCACTGGTTCAATAATGGGAATGTAACCAGGTTAGTTATACTAGCAGTTACTTGTTACTAGTAAGACAGTAGTATAGAAACCACGTGACAGACAAGATGGCACATAACTTGGAGGATAATGTAACTATTATTCAGTGTTACAGATCAGCGCAGATAAATATCCTAATTATACATGCTGAATATGTTAATTAACAAAACCCGATGACAATGCAGCAGTAGTAGTGAGAATAATGACAATGCAGGAACTACCGACGCGAGCACGCGAGACATCCGCTACAATTGAGTAGAGAGAGTGAGTCGGTAACCATGGAAATAGTGGAAAGGAGGATTTGTGAAGAGAGGGAGAAGTTGGATGAGGACTACTGAAGTGGAGGTGAAGTGTAATGCTAGTCACTAATCAACAAGGCAGAGTCTTGTTCTACCTTGTAATCAAACAGATTATACTGAGAAATATAAAGTGACGGTAACTACGGTAACTAGCGGTAACTATGGTAACTAGTTGGAAGGAGCTGGAGTTGTAACTACCACCCAGGTCACCTCTCACAGTCAGCAAGAGCTGCTCTTCTTCTTCCAGGATGATGTTTCCATTTAATGCTAATGCTTCCCAGCAGACTTGTGTCCAGCCGCCAGGAAACCGTGGAGAGAACAGTTTTGTAATTCTGAGACTTTCACCAAACTTCAACCTTTGTTGCTAGTTGCTGCGTTACTCTAGCAGTGGTAACCATAGTAATGTAACCTTGGTTTCCAGGTTACTTTAGCAGTGGTTACCATAGTGCTGTAACCTTGGTTTCCAGGTTACTCTAGCAGTGGTTTCTATAGTAATGTAACCTCGGTTTCCAGGTTACTCTAGCAGTGGTTACCATAGTTATGTAACCTTGGTTTCCAAGTTACTCTAGCAGTGGTTTCCATAGTGCTGTAACCTTGGTTTCCAGGTTACTCTAGCAGTGGTTACCATAGTGCTGTAACCTTGGTTTCCAGGTTACTCTAGCAGTGGTTACCATAGTGCTGTAACCTTGGTTTCCAAGTTACTCTAGCAGTGGTTACCAGTGATGTAACCTTGGTTTCCAGGTTACTCTAGCAGTGGTTTCCATAGTGCTGTAACCTTGGTTTCCAGGTTACTCTAGCAGTGGTTACCATAGTGCGGTAACCTTGGTTTCCAGGTTACTCTAGCAGTGGTTACCATAGTGCTGTAACCTTGGTTTCCAGGTTACTCTAGCAGTGGTTACCATAGTGATTTAACCTTGGTTTCCAGGTTACTCTAGCAGTGGTTACCATAGTGCTGTAACCTTGGTTTCCAGGTTACTCTAACAGTGGTTACCATAGTGCTGTAACCTTCACTGGTTTCTATGGTGATGCAACACTGGTTTCTGTGGTGATGCAAATTCCGGTGGCTGTTTTAAGTTAAAACTACTGCAAATAACGCCGCTGCTCTCTTATTACAGATGAAGTTATTTTGAAATGAGAGGTATTGACGAACAGTTCCAGCATATACGGAAAAGAAGACCTGCTTAAATCACGATTATATTACTGATATATAGATGGACCACTAGGGGTAACAACAGATAGATGGGCCACTAGGGGTAACAACAGATAGATGTTATCTTAGAAAGTATAATAAATAGTATTATAATATAAATCACCTGTATTTTAGAAAGTGTAAAATGTAAATTAGATAGTAAAAATACGAAGCACACTCGGAGAGCAGATATAAAGAGATTTATGTTAAGATAATATTGAGAGATACCACTCAATGAAACTGTAAAAGTAATAGTAATAGTAGAAATACTGCTGCTGAAGAGATACCACTCAATGAAACTGTAAAAGTAATAGTAATAGTAGAAATACTGCTGCTGAAGAGATACCACTCAATGAAACTGTTAAAGGAAGACTATAAGACATTCAGTGGAGAACAGCAGGTAACGTGTAGAAGTGGTTACCATAGTGACGTAACCTTGGTTTCCAGGTAGAAGTGGGGGTAGAAGACTGTAAGAAAACAACTCTCAGCTCATCACCACACAGAGTGTGACACAGAGTGTGACACAGATTGTGACACAGATTGTAACACAGATTGTGACACAGAGTGTGACACAGAGTGTGACACAGAGTGTGACACAGATTGTGACACAGATTGTGACACAGAGTGTGACACAGAGTGTGACACAGAGTGTGACACAGAGTGTGACACAGAGTGTGACACAGAGTGTGACACAGATTGTAACACAGAGTGTGACACAGAGTGTGACACAGAGTGTGACACAGATTGTGACACAGAGTGTGACACAGATTGTGACACAGAGTGTGACACAGATTGTGACACAGAGTGTGACACAGAGTGTGACTCTGTTATCCTGACCTTCGCTGATCTTCCTAGCTCTAGACCGAGGAGAAGTGTTCATGATGGGACTCTTATTTACGTCCATGTAACCTTGTTTAGCTTTGGCCACACTGTTCATAGTCCTCGTCATTATGTAAGTGTTCATCATATCGTTACCCAGCCTGTTAGACCCGAATGCTGCCCCGGCTGACTTTCTGTTCCCATTCATGGTTGAGAAGGAACCTTGGCTCATCATTCTACTGTTCCGGGCAGGATTCTGAGCCTGCAATCTGGATCTCCGCCTCATTTCCAGCTTCAACAAAGAGGGGATTAATGTGTTATTTAACGTTATTATACCTCATTTCCAGCTTCAACAAAGAGGGGATATGTTATTTTAACGTTATTATACTTCATTTCCAGCTTCAACAAAGAGGGGATGTGTTATTTAAACGTTATTATACCTCATTTCCAGCTTCAACAAAGAGGGGATATGTTATTTTAACGTTATTATACCTCATTTCCAGCTTCAACAAAGAGGGGATATGTTATTTTAACGTTATTATACCTCATTTCCAGCTTCAACAAAGAGGGGATGTGTTATTTAACGTTATTATACCTCATTTCCAGCTTCAACAAAGAGGGGATGTCACTTAATGTTACAGTGACTTAATGTTACAGTGGCAGGATATAGTTTAAAACGTAGTCAGAAATTTAACGGATAATTTTTAAAGTCAAGTAAAAAAACTGTTTCTGTCAAGTCTATTTTAAACAAACGACCCTTTCATACAACCTTAACTATAACTAAGTATTTTTTATGGATTTGACACCTTCATTAAGAATTTAAGAAAATGGCAATAATTCTACGGAAAATCTTACGATAAAAAAGGACTCAGTTTTTATGGGTTAAGGGGGGGGGGGGGGGGGGGGGGGGGGCCAATGGGTATTTTTTGTGAAACTTGATTTCGAGATAGCAGTTGACCAACAAACTAAGAACAGTGACCGAACTTTTGAGGGGGTCCCGGACCCCAACCGGGGGGGGGGGGGGGGGGGGGGGGGGGGGCCAATGGATATTTTTTGTGAAACTTGATTTCGAGATAGCAGTTGACCAACAAACTAAGAACAGTGACCGAACTTTTGAGGGGGTCCCGGACCCCAACCGCCAAACGGTGCCCGCGGGGCAGCCACGCCCATATTTGGTCCAAATTAGGCCCAATTTAGCCAAATACCCTAAACATGCCCAAAATTCAGGTTTAAGGTGCTCTACTTGTAGCTAGTGGTCTCTTGAACTTGTATATGAAATTTCATCAAGATTGGACAAAAAATGACTGAGTTATGAGCCAAAAAACCATATGCCCATATTTGGGCATACGCACCAAATTTGGTAGATTTCGTCCCATAAATTGGTCAAATATTAATATTTTTGAATGAGACTTACTTTATAAGAAAGGTAAGCCTAAACTAGATATTCTCAGTAGGTTATAGCTTTATATCTGTTTAAATGTGGGTACTGGTCCTAGTTTGTTGGTCAACTGGCTATCTCGAAATCAAGTTTCACAAAAAATACCCATGGCCCCCCCCCCCCTTAAATGGAACGATTAATTAACTTGTTAGGACTAATTGAATGCTCGTAAGGATAGTCGCTGCTTGTAGTTTTAGAGAAGGTATTAATAATCCCCCCCTGCAAAGTGTATCAATGTTGTAACTCACCTGGGGGGTGTTACTAGGTGTTACTAAGTGTTACTAGGGGGGGGGGGGATCAGGTACTCACCAAGTCTAATGGTTGTTTTTAGGTCAGCTAGAAGTGTATCAATGCAGTTCTCTTCCTTCTTTCCTGTCATCCGCGCTCATGCTCGTGTTACCATGACAACGCTCATATTCTACCTTGTGTCTGGTCACCTGTTCATTAGCTTGAAAGGAGAGTTAGTTAGACCTTATATCACCAGAGACAGATTTAATAAATTATATCACACTATGCTAAAACACTTTCAACACTTTTATCATTTATAAACTTTAGAAATCTATTCAGTTTTAATACTTTCGTCACTACTCATGTATTAGCTGACTGTAATTTATACGCAATACCATTACAACTGCTCCAAAGGAGTGCCGTAACGTTACCATTACCACTGTTCCAAAGGAGTGCCGTAACGTTACCATTACCACTGTTCCAAAGGAGTGCCGTAACGTTACCATTACCACTGTTCCAAAGGAGTGCCGTAACGTTAGCATTACCACTGTTCCAAAGGAGTGCCGTAACGTTAGCATTACCACTGTTCCAAAGGAGTGCCGTAACGTTACCATTGTTCCAAAGGAGTGTCGTAACGTTAGCATTACCACTGTTCCAAAGGAGTGCCGTAACGTTACCATTACCACTGTTCCAAAGGAGTGCCGTAACGTTACCATTACCACTTTTCCAAAGGAGTGCCGTAACGTTAGCATTACCACTGTTCCAAAGGAGTGCCGTAACGTTAGCATTGCCACTGTTCCAATGGAGTGCCGTAACGTTAGCATTGCCACTGTTCCAATGGAGTGCCGTAACGTTACCATTACCACTGTTCCAAGGAGTGCCGTAACGTTACCATTACCACTGTTCCAAAGGAGTGCCGTAACGTTACCATTACCACTTTTCCAAAGGAGTGCCGTAACGTTAGCATTGCCACTGTTCCAAAGGAGTGCCGTAACGTTAGCATTGCCACTGTTCCAATGGAGTGCCGTAACGTTACCATTACCACTGTTCCAAAGGAGTGCCGTAACGTTACCATTACCACTGTTCCAAAGGAGTGCCGTAACGTTACCATTACCACTGTTCCAAAGGAATGCCGTAACGTTACCATTACCACTGTTCCAAAGGAGTGCCGTAACGTTAGCATTACAACTGTTCCAAAGGAGTGCCGTAACGTTAGCATTACCACTGTTCCAAAGGAGTGCCGTAACGTTAGCATTACCACTGTTCCAAAGGAGTGCCGTAACGTGACCATTACCACTGTTCCAAAGGAGTGCCCGTAACGTTACCATTACCACTGTTCCAAAGGAGTGCCGTAACGTTACCATTACCACTGTTCCAAAGGAGTGCTGTAACGTTACCATTACCACTGTTCCAAAGGAGTGTCGTAACGTTAGCATTACCACTGTTCCAATGGAGTGCCGTAACGTTAGCATTACCACTGTTCCAAAGGAGTGCCGTAACGTTACCATTACCACTGTTCCAAAGGAGTGCCGTAACGTTAGCATTACCAATGTTCCAAAGGAGTGCCGTAACGTTACCATTACCACTGTTCCAAAGGAGTGCCGTAACGTTACCATTACCACTGTTCCAAAGGAGTGCCGTAACGTTAGCATTACCACTGTTCCAAAGGAGTGTCGTAACGTTAGCATTACCACTGTTCCAAAGGAGTGCCGTAACGTTAGCATTACCACTGTTCCAAAGGAGTGCCGTAACGTTACCATTACCACTGTTCCAAAGGAGTGTCGTAACGTTACCATTACCACTGTTCCAAAGGAGTGCCGTAACGTTACCATTACCACTGTTCCAAAGGAGTGCCGTAACGTTACCATTACCACTGTTCCTAAGGAGTGCCGTAACGTTAGCATTACCACTGTTCCAAAGGAGTGCCGTAACGTTACCATTACCACTGTTCAAAAGGAGTGGCCGTAACGTTACCATTACCACTGTTCCAAAGGAGTGCCGTAACGTTACCATTACCACTGTTCCAAAGGAGTGCCGTAACGTTACCATTACC